TTCACCCATCACCCCCAGAACTAATAGCGGGACGTTATATAAATGAAGTTTTAGGCCCTCACGTAATTCCAATGCGTCGGCAAATGTGCCGTAATTTCATCTTGATGCAGAATAATGTACGCTCCCATATTGCAAGAATAGCTTATACTTACTTGGAAGAAAACAAATCATTAAAAAAGAAATAATATAGTTATTATTTCTTTTTTAATCATTTATAATTTGTCAATGAGAAAAGAAATTATACCAAATAATTGATTATATTAATAGTCACAAATAGTTATTATAGTCTCAACTCCTATACTTATAAACTATTTACTTTTTTGAATTTTCACTTGTGGTTTAGTTTACTTTTTGTTGGTACTTTACTTTCCTGTACACTTTATCTTATTTACAATTTTGTCTTATCAATGGCTCGAAGAAGATAAGTTATATCAAATCTACGCCCCTTACGAAAATAAGACATCCGATACATATTTCATTATTCATAGTAGTTGAAGAAAAGTCAAGTATTTAAAAAGTAAAAGTTTTTTTATAGTGCTGGATTTATAAATAAACTTATTTCTATATTTACATACAAATTTCCCGAACACGAAAATATAGTACATAATAAGAAGAAAAGTTTTTGTCTACTATGTAAGTATTTATGTCACTTATCATACATAATTTTATTCAAATATTTTGATTTGTAAATATGTGAAATATAACTGTTAAAAACGTATGATCGAATTCTATCTATAGACTAGGTTTTCTTTTGTCTTTTGTAAAATTATTCAACTGCAAAAAAGAGTTTTTATATCTTGATTTTGTTTTAGATTAAAACATGAAGATCAATCCTTTGAACGTAGTCAATTTATTATTAGCATATTTTCAAAATTTACAAATACCCGATAGCGAGATTAATTTCAAAGAAATTCAATTGTCAGAAAAGTTGAAAGAAATATTAATAGATGCCGTGTATGAGTTTAATGATATTGATATGATTGTTGAAGAGACGTTAGATTTTCATGAAGATTATAAAGATACTGATGCTAAAATAATCGAAGATGTAGTTCAACATCACTTTCCTGATCCTGATTTTGCACCAACAAATCAGTGCACAAATGATGATGAAGAAATCACATTTGATTATAAACAAAGAGCCAGAATTTTGGAGGAGCGGAAAAAACAAAAACTTAAAACTGGATACTGTACAACATAGATTCAAAAAAGTTTCATTTCTAAGTCAACTTAAACGTTGGGCGAAAACAATTCATAAAAATGGAACTTACCGAGAAAAAATTGCGCAAATTTTCCAATACACGTTTGATAATTTAAAAGCCGCTATTGCACCTGCTACGATAGTGCATGATCGAGATATACGGAAATGGGCATTGCAAGCTTAAAAAATTGTTGACCTTGAAGATATAAGATTTAAGGCTTCTTAAAATTGGTTACTAAAATTTAAAAAAGCTCATAGAACAGTATCTAGAAAAATAAATAAATTTATCACCAAAAAAACATTAGAAAGTAAAGAAGAACTACAAACTAATGCTGATGCTTTTGTAGCGGATGTTAAATCATGTATACCAGAAATCGGCATTGCAAACTTTTATGATTCAGATCACAATGGTTTCCAATTAGAAATGCACTCGGGAAGAACATTAGCAGTTGAAGGAGAAAAGCAGGTGCAATGTCTGGTACAGTCGGTTTCATCGACAACGCACAGTTATACGATTCAGCCAACTATATCAGCAACCGGGAAACTTTTATCACCACTTTTTATAGTATTAAAAGAAAAAAGTGATCAATTCGGTCCCATAGTGCAATCTTCATTATTTAGACCAGAAAATGTGCATATGGAAGCATCTAAATCTGGAAAATTAACGACAAGTTAGTATATTTTTGTTTATTATAATGCAATGAGATAAAAAAATGTTGACATTTTTTAATTTTAGATCATTTTAAAATTTGGTTGAAAGAAGTTTTTTACTCAAATGTTGGACCTCAATCTGTACTTTTACTCGACTCTTGGAGTGGACATTGCGATAAAGCTGTAAGGGAAACGGTGCCGACAAACAAAATTGTTAATATAAAAAAAATTCCCACAGGAACGACAGTGAACATCCAACCACTCGATGTTTATGGATTTCGTATCTGGAAAAACTTAGTTCAACGTTTATCAGATCAAGTAATTTTGATGGACTATGAAATGAATCTACATTCAAGAAATAACATCATAAAAGTGCAGTCTCTTGTCCATAACCAGCTTTCTTCACCAAGATATACAAATATTTTTAAATACGCTTGGTATAAAAGCGGCTACATTGCTGAAAAACCAGCTAAAACAGATAACCCTGTTGTTTTTAGTTTTGGAGATTCTTGCAATAAACATTGCGAAGTAGAAGCATGTAAAAATGTTGCTATAATACGGTGTGGTTGGTGTAAAAAATCATTATATTTCAAACACTTTTTCGATGATTATCATTTCTGTAAGGAATTCGTTGAATGATACATTTTTATTTACCAATAAATAAAAAAAAAGAAAAAGATGAAAATTATTATGAAAAATCAAAATATATGTAGTATCGCGTACAATCGCTCTTACGTAAATATATTTATGTATCTACATACGAATATAAATATATATGTATAGATCTATAAATGATAATTAGACCTCGTGTTATTCTCGTGTTTATTTTTAAGAGATATTTCTCGCCATTTTGGTACTATTAAAAAAAAATGTATTAAACATATTTTTATTTGTCATAAATTATATTTGAGCTACAGATATATTTAAAAAAAAAATGGGATACCCCACGTACGGTGCAGAAATCAATTATTTTAAGAAAAAGCAACTGATAAACTCAATTCTCCCAAAGTTAGGTCTATTAGCCTACATTTGGTTGGGTAAGAATGGTTTATGGGGGTTTGGTGGGTTAGAGGCAGGTTGGTTAGTTGAGGTAGCTCGCTCAGGCGTAGGATTAAATTATTTCAGGAAATAACAAACGACTTAAATCGTGTTTCCCAGGGTTAGGAGGTTTAGCCTGCTTGTGTTTCAGTAAGGGTGGTTTATAAGGGTGGGGGTTAGATAGGTTAGGGGTAGGTGGATAAGAGGTATGTTATACAGCTGGGATAACTCGCTTATGGTGTAAAGTTCAATTATTTCAAGAAATAACAAACGACTAAAGTTGCTTTTCACAGGATTAGGTGGGTTAGCCTGCATGTGGTTCGGTAAGGATGGTTTATGGGGGTTTTGGTGGGTTAGAGGCAGGTTGGTTAGTTAGTTTTTTTAAATCCGGAAACACGTCAATTTAATTTTGGTATTTTCTCATTATCAGTGCGATTTTTAAATCACTCAAGCTGATTTACTATATTACATGTCGTAAAACAATACAAAAAATAGTGTATTTACCTCTATTAAAAAGGGGGTTGCATCCCTTCGGTATAAATGTTATGTCCTTAAAAGCGCCTTTTTATAAGAAATTTTGTAACGTTGAATTTACTGAAAAATATTCATTTGATGCTGAGAAATATTAAAAAAACTGATTTTAGGGGTTGATTTTCGGGGTGGATTTCACCCCTTAAAAGCCCTTACGGGCAGATAAAAAAACACGTATCTAATTTTTTTTTCAAGTACTACAACATATCCCAAAATCATTCAAATCGGTGAGATCAGGTTGGGGTGGTTCCCTTGTTAGGTGTGACTGACTTTATGTCTAATCTGCTTTATCCCCTAGATGAAATCGGATTAAAACCTAAGCCTTTATAGATCGATTAAGCTAATAGGAAACGAAATGACGTAAACGGCGAATAAAATTAACTAAGTTAATCAATAAAAACTACAGTCTTTTATGGGCCGAAAAACTAACACACGCGAATAGGATTTACAATTCATTATTAATATTCGGTGGGAGAGAGAGAGAGAGAGAGAATTCGAAAATTGCCGCGAAAACTAACGCTCGGCGCGAATACAAAAATTCAAGATCGCGGTTGACAAAATACTTTCGAACTTATTTTGTCACGCAATAATAAAGGAAGGTACACCTACCCTGCGGTGCAATTACGGTGATCAGCCGTAATTGTTGATGAAGAAAATCAACTGTCGATGCTCCTCCAATTGATCAGCTGCTCTACCTCGCTCTCCAATCTGTTGCAATTTGCTACTGCTATACTGCTACTGCTTGCTGCCGTTATAATGCTGTTGCACTCACGCACGTAAAAAAATCGTCCCAGAAAACTTTATGAAAGCGGCGAAACACAATACAAAACAAATTGGCGGTATTCTCGCGAAAACAGCTGAGGCTTAATTGCCTATTTCAAACTCTCACGAGCCGTCTCTCTCTTAATCATTCGAACTAAAACGCGAGTAATAGAATCGCGAACGGATTGATTAATTGATTCGACTACCGTTGCAGGAGATAAAAAATGTTTAAAAAAACTGTCACATCCCGGAAAAAATGCCCGTGCGCGCGTCGGTTTTGACGAAAATACTTTTTTGACTAGTGATTCAAATAAAACTTGATCCAAGCTAAAAAATGCTTTAACTAAAATTTTTGAAGGATTTTTTTCCAGATTATGCAAATTTTCAAAGTTAGCAAAAAGTTTTTTGAATTTTCAATGTTGAATTATTGCTTGCAAAAAATTTAAAAACAATTAATGTCATCTATGAGTCATACCATTTGAAAGCTCTTGGAAAGACCTTTCAAACGCGCCTCGGACAACTCTGTACGTTAAATTTTATCAGAGATATTGAACTTTGACTTTTGACTAATTTTGCGGCGGGGGGCCCGTAGTAGATGACTGGCAGTGTAATTACGACATTTCCTTGATGTTAATTAGTCGTATACTGTATTATTGCCTTGTGTCTGTCATATATTGGCTCAAGCCAACGTACGAAGCCAAAAAGGTTTAAGAGCGCAAGTTTGATTCTCGATTTGAATAAAACTCCACATATAGCATGGACATTTTTACTAAAAATAATTTTTGTTATTCCAAAGGTTTATAAATTATGTTATTTTTAGGGAACGCATATCATGCAAGAATCTGGAATTTACATATTACAGTGGTTAAATTCAGAGGAACAAGGAGAATTTCTTCCTTCAATCAGCTCTCATAAAGCTCAATTAATGTACTTTTATGAAGTTCTACCATCAGCTCACTACAAGTAATTGAATTTCATAACTTATTTAACAATGAAAAATAAAGTATTTCTTATTAAAGATATTTTTTATTGTGTAGGGGTTCAATGATGAGTCTTCAATCAGCTATAAGTGGACGATCAGTTGCAAGTTCTTTACTTTCTAGATGAGAACTGATTGCAATCAAATATGAAACTGGACTGGATAGTCCATAAAGTTTTTAAAGTATTTCTAAAAGCTCAGTTGTTTCAATTTGCAGTATAGTTCGGATTCTACTCGAGTTAAAATCAGCAATATCTATTGTAAAATGCTTAATAATATTTGTCATTCTGTTAACATTTATGGTTTACTAGCGTTTATAAATAATTGAATACTGAGTCTGAATTTTAGCTAGACAGTTAGATAATAATGGACAAATATTCCTATAACATTTATACTAGAAACTTGAAACACCTATCTCACGTGTTAAGTAATAACTCACAATGTGACTATTGGATCTTGTAGGTACAAGAAAAAATTATAAAACTGATGGTCTTGCTTTCAGCTTTCTAATGACAAAATGTTACTTATGAATTACCACTAATAATTTTTTGAAATGCTTACTGTGCTAGAATTAACAAAAATGTACAATAATAATTTTAGTGATTGTTTTAATATATAACAGTGGCCATTACAAATAAAAAATGTTTCTTGTAACAGTGAACAGTATGAGCTCTTAAATAGATTTAGACCCCATGAGCGCTGAGCTCCGTCTTTGAGGAACTTAAATTAGCTAGCGTTAAGTTTAACTAATCAATGCTGCAAGGTGATCTGTTGCTCTTGCACGGGCTATGGAAAAATGTAAAAATTTATGCGCTTGCAAGCTCAAAATTCCGTGAGTATAAACGATGAGTAGCAGTCAGAGCTCGGGGATATAGTCAACTACAATTAACGCATATTTTAGACATCTCAGTTTATTCATTATTTACAATGTTATACACGCTTATTGCAAATTTGTCCCGACACTCACAGCGTGAAGTTTGATCGCGCGACCGTATATACTAGAATGCTCGGTCAATGCACCCGACAGAATCCAAGGATAATGAGTTCAAGTAGCTCGTAACTTGGGCAGATTAGTTACTCTGCGCGGTTACAATAATGAAACCTCTTGATCTGACGATTCAGTGATGTAGTAACGAAACCTGTCCTTCTGATTGCTGAGTAGATTATGAAGTCAACGATTTTTATCTCTCGCAGACCTTTGACTCAATGGAGATGAATAATGCTGCTGCGCTCGATGAATAGTTTACACCGAATCGTTATAATTAACTCGATAATAGATCTAGGTGTATTCGAATCAAGGCAGCGTATTCAACTGTTCCATTATGCTGGCTTAAACATATTTTGCTAGCCAGTACGCTTTGCCACTTTCTCGGCGTAGTATGCGAACGTAGCTTGTTACAGTCTATGTAAATTTTGTATAGGCTTAATTGTTATTAATAATTATTATTAATGTGCAATATCATTTTTTTATATTCAAAGTTTTTGCTGGAACATCAGATGTTAATATGATCATGTTAATAAAGATTTGTATTAATGAAAAGTAAAATTGAGTCACTACTATATAGTACATACTGACTAATTGTTAATTAATTTTTTAAGATTTTTGTAAATATTTTTGGTTTGAATGATAATTTTTATATTTTTGCACTCTGTCTTATTTTATATATTTTTATTAACCCTAACCTGATAAGAATTGCAAAAAATTAGAAGTAAAAATGTTATATGCTAATTTTTGTAATTAAAAAGCTGAAAGCACTACCACAAGTGTTACTTATTTTTCACTTGTGCTCACAAAATCTAATTTTTATTTTCTGAATTATTATCTATAAGATTTACTTAATTTTTATAATATAGTAGCAGGCTCTCTTATTAAATAGTTTAGACAAAATTATAAAATTCACTTGAATGCCTATGACAAATTTTATTTATAATTTGATCTTACTCTTAGTTAAAATATTTAGTATTGTCATCATATTGTCCATACAATAATCCAATATAGAAAATATTTTTTACGTTTATTTAAATATCAGAAACAAAATCAATTGTAAAGATTTTAGAAGACATTTAAGTTACTGTTATTTCAGACTATACAATAAGGAAATATTTTCAAAATAAATTTAGATGATAAGCAGAATAATGATATAAGTTTATAGAAGTATTGAAAAATGTATGAGAAAAAGCAAGTAAAGGCGAACAAGAGAAGATTACTCTATTTGAAACTCTATTATCTAGGTATATGGGCGATTCTCACAAACTTCTACTTTTTGTGGTACTCTGTATATTCTACGCTAATTCATTATTTTTGCTTATATAACAAAGATAAACTGGGTTGCATATGTTGTTTTAATAATATAAAAATAGAGATGTACTATTTATTACATTTTCCAAGCCAAAATAACGGTAAATACTTTTAAAAAATAGTTAAATTGAAAAAAATATATTTAACTCTATAATATTTTGATTATTTTTGTTCTAATTTTGTGCGTTGATTGAAAATTTTTCAATGAATAACCCTGTGTCCCGGTGAATAATCCTGTCACCACCTTCACCCCCTCTCGATTATCCCTAACCGTGACGGACATTAATATGAACGGCCTGAACGTGCCGTGACATTTCTCTCTCCTGGAAGCACAGGCATATAATATTATCAAGTGCATATAATATTATTGCCATTTCCGAAACGAAACTCTGTAACGTCATCTCTGATGAACACCTTACCTTAGCCGATTATAATTTTTTCCGCCTAGATTGTGAGGGCAAGGGAGGCGGTGTATCGCTCCAAGCAAAGCAGGGAGGAGAAGTACAGGCAAAATGATCTCACACACACAACTCGTTAATAAACCGTTTATTACAAACGCACTACCTCGAGTGCCGACGAGAGTACAAATCACTTATTAGCAATAACGCACAAACTTAATCTAAACGAGATGACCGGCACGTTAGCGCCATGTCACCTCGTTAACCGGCTCAAACAACTACTTAAATTACACACTGCCGAAAACTACGCCGGCTCGGGAAAGCCTGGCGTAGCAACGCGAACCGTGAGAATCGCCGAGGAAAAAGGAGAGATACAAAGAGAGAGGAACAGGTGACCTGACCGATGTCGGCGGACGCCGCTGTCGCTGGTAGTCTGGAAGATATCCCACTGGCGGCTTGGCAAGGAGATTCTTGGCTGCTGTGTGACCGGCGATCTGGCAGAAGAACCTGCCGGGTACCGTCCTGGTGGTGGCTTCTTGCCGGAAAACTTCCTGACTGCTACTTCCCTGGCAGGGAGAATCCGTCCGGCTAATCTGACGAGAACTGCCGACTTCTTCCCGAACAAAGGGGCAGGCTTCGCAGCGATGGTCCAACTAACTAATGCAGCCGATTACTCTCGCGTGCGTCGCATAACTGTCGCGAGTGCATGATGAGCCGGCTACTCACGCCTTCTCCGACCACTCGCCTCCTAATCGGCGGCACGCGGCAATGCCGGTCGCGACAAGTGCCGCGCGCCAAGCCCAACCACTAAAACTATTGTTTCTCTCTCTCTCTCTCTCTCTCTCTCGCACTCTCAATATTCAAACGCGTCGTCGCGTCCCTGGCCTCGTCCTTCGCTCTCGTGCGTTGCTGAAAATAAAAAGGGCAGGCATCAGGCACGTGATAATAACGTGCGTTTGATGCCGGCCATGCGCCTTTGCCTAGGAAGGAGAGGGAGATAAGCACACGGTGCAGGCCATGACAGGTCTACACCGTCACACACCAGCAAGCTCTCTGTCTCCTCGAGCTACTCGGGTGGTTTATTTCATCTAGACACAACCTTAGTCGATCGACTTGAGCAATTTTCACCCTGGCGGTTTGTGCTGCTTTCGACGAGCTTGCTCCTTCTCGTCTTGTCACCATCTCCGCGAAAAAGAAGCTCTGGGTAATTAATAAACTACGTGCCCAAATACGGATCCGTGATACAGCCTACAGACGCTTTCGAGCTTCCGGCTCATCCTTGGCCCTTCAACAATATCGTTCCCTAAGAACTGCCATTTCAAACGAGCTTGACACAGAGAAAAATATCCATATCCGCAATAACATTGAGCATGCCAATAGTTAAACATCTAAGTGGAGACCCTTCATAATATCGGCTTAGCCAATTGGCATTTACCATCACCACTGCTCTTTTTCTCAGCTGATGAACTCAACAAACACTTTGCCACAGTTGTCAACAAATCTCCACCACTGACCTTTACTAAATTTGACAATATCTGTAGTTCTCCCCTGCACATAACTTTTTATTTTCCTCCATTTGTTTTCTCAAAAATTATACAATCTGACGTTGAGACCGAGATCAAAGCTATGCGTTCTAAAGGCAAAGGCTGTGATGGACTCACAGGAGGGATGCTTCTTCTTGGACTAGACACTTTAGTCTGCAAACTTACCGAAATTTTTAATAAATCTATTGAAACATCCACTTTACCCTCCACGTCGAAGCGCACCTTCATTCGTCTTCTCTCCAAAGTCAGATCATCCCAGTCCCCTTCTAATACTAGGCTCATCGCGCAATTGTCTGAATCCTCTAAAATCTTCGAACGACTATTACACCGACAATTCTCTAACTATTTAGAAGCAAACAATCTTCTAGACCCTAAACGGGTCGGTTTCTGGAAGGGACATTCTGCTGAGATCGCCTTGGTGAGTATCCTCGATGACATAACGTTTGCCATTGATAAGAGACAAATTACCATCCTTGTTCTCTTTGATTTCTTAAAGGCCTTCAATAATATACCTCATGACCTGATTGTTACTAAGATCAGAGCTTGTCATGTTGGTGATTCCGTTCTTCGTTGGTTCTTTAGCTACCTGGCCGACAGGGTGCAGGCTGTTATTGACCTTGAAGATTCCGTTTCTCAATGGTTACGTGCACAGACAGGTGTCCCGCAAGGAAGCGTCCTTGGTCCGCTATTGTTCGCTATTTTCATTAATGATTTCCCACGAGTGCTTTTTTTCTTATGTTGATGACACCCAGATTTACCATCACTACGTCCCTTCCTAGATTATTGAGGGACTTGCAAAGGTTCAGTTGTATGCTCAGGCGGTTGCGGATTGGAAGCGAGTAAGCGGTCTCCAACTTAACGTTGCCAAAACGGAAGTCATGATTGTTGGAAGCGAACTTCATGTTCTCTCTATAGACCTTAACTCATTGTACAGGCTTAAGGTTGATGATGTTGAGATACCATTATCATCATCAGTCAAAACTCTAGGACTTACTATCACGTCAACTCTTCAATGAAAACCTGACATCTTCGACATTGTTAAGAGAGTTCACCTTGGCTTCAACTACCTGAAGTTCTATAGAAGGTCACTCACCATTGAGACAAGGAAATACCCGGTCCAAGCACTAATTTTTTTCCATTTTACATGTGCCTCTATAGCTTTCATGAAAATTGACAAGTCCAGAACCCTGGCCCCTCAAACCGCTTTCAATGCTTGTGTCAGATTCATCACAGGCTTCATACCATTCATTCCCACAACAAGCATTGACTCCCATATCACCTTTTATAAATTGTGTCTGGGCTGGCTATCTCTTGAGAGTCAGTGCAACATTTCTCTCATCCTTCGCACATACAAAACTGTATGCTGTCAATACTCGAGCTACCTTACAACATACGTCAAAACTCCAAATCCTCCTAACCTAAAGCACTTTTCCCGTAATCTACCTATAGCCTTTTCCTATCCTGCTCCGAGAACTGAAGCTTGAAGGTTTTCGGCAGCGGCTTATGGTATGTACCTCCTCAACCAGTTAGCCATCACCGAGTTTGATGTTACTCGCTATGTCGAGCTCAAGCGCTGGTTGTATGGCTACTTCATGGTGATGGAACATCTCCTTTTTCACCACAGAGCTGACGCCAAACACCTCACAAATCTTTCGTTGCTCCTGAAACTACCATCTATCCCTCTTCCTTTCAACGTTTCCGCTTTCACCTCATCATCAGAGTACCTCCTATCACCTGGTCGTTACCTAGTCTGCATATTTCCTCCATTCAACTCTTCAGTGTAATATTCATTCTTACATCCACTCTTCGATCCATAGTCTACATTCACTGTCACATTTTCCTCTCACCAGGCTGAATGAATTCATTCCTAAATCGCATTTACCTACTCACCATGTATAATAACTTGTTCACCAGCTTCATTTACCCTCTTTAGCCGGTAATCTAATTTTGTATTCGGTCTGCTCTCTTGAGTATATTATATTGTATTAAGTCCGCCTGTTCTCATCTAGTTACTTAAATTTACCTTATTTCATTTTTGTATATCACGATTTGCGACCTCACCTCATCTCGTCACCTAACCTTTTCTCAATTAATTTAGCTCAATTCTCTCTACCCCATGCGAGTATTGTATTATTTCTATTTTTATGTATGCATCATAACTTCACTCTCATATTCTTTACATATTACGCTCAACCTAAGTTCACCTTAAATTAACCCTTGGCTGCCACACAGGGGTACAGCGGTACTCCAGCCATTTCTATCTCAATTTTGAATAGTTTAAACCGATAAATCGATACTTATGGCGATATCTGTAGGTCATTAAGACACCCCCCCTTCCATTCGGCCTAGTGCCGCTACTTTGAAAGTGTCAGTCTAGCTGTGGTCGTAGAGCAAAGTGGAGTGGGATCGCGTGTACCCCAGTGTGTAAACAACGTCATTTTTCGGTGATTTGGAGTGGTTGTTTTTTTCGTTCTAAATTGGCAGTGAAGTGTAAAATAAGGTTAGTAAATGGTATTCTAATCGTTTTTAATTTTTATTTGCCGATATATAATATTTTATTTGAATTATTTAGATGGCATATAATTTGCGAACGCGTCGCATACGGGAAGAACTGCTAGAGGAAGATGGCATCGAGGATACGAATGATTCTACCACTTGTAGCAATGCAACTAGTGGAACTGGGACTTCTCCAAGCAATTTAGATGATTCTGCAGATGAAGATTTCTCTGAAAATGACAGCTCCGACTCAGATTCCGACGTTGAAAACGTTTCTCTAGCTGAACGGCTTTCGGAGCAACGCGCGCGTAGGCGTCCGACAACCAAGCTAAAAGGCAAAAATGGCTTCGTTTGGGACACAAGGATGCCGGCAAGATCATCAGGTAAATTTTCTATTGCACCTGCCCCTCTCTCTTGCTCTCTTTTTCTCTCTCGCTCTCTCTCTCTCTCTCGCCCTCTTACTCTACCGCTTTTCCATCCGACTGGCCGTGCAGCTGCCTTCCTCTCCCTATCTACCTCTTATACGCCGCGCTGTGCCGCTGCCTTTCTCTTTCTTTTCATCTCCCTCAATTTAAAATATGATTTTATGTTCAATTTTGCAGAGCGTCAAAGCCTTCCTGCTGAATTGGTTCCTGGGCCAACAGGCGATGCTCTAAATGCCAGTACCATTGAGGAGTTTTTCGATCTTCTTTTCAATAATGAAATGATCGAAATTATTGTTGAAAACACAAACAGCAAAATTGAAGAAATCTGCATGCCACTTATAGTTGAAGAAAAAATGGAAACCTACCATCACCCGACCGACGTTAATGAAATCCGAGCTTATATCGGCGTTTTATGCTATGCCGGATTGTGGAAATCATCTAACGTTGATGATAATCGGCTTTGGAGCAAGGCAAATGGTATTACATTCTACAGGTGTGTTTTCACAAGGAATCGATTTTCGTTTCTGCAGTCATGTCTGCGTTTTGACGTCAAGAGTTCAAGAAATAGAGAGGACAGATTCGCGCCTATCCGCAAACTTTGGGACATTTTTATGGGCAATTGCAAGCGGTACTACACACCCAGCAGTCAATGTACTGTCGACGAGCAGCTCTTGGGTTTCCGTGGCCGTTGCATTTTCCGAGTTTATAGTAAAGATAAACCCGACAAATATGGATTCAAAATTATTTGTCTCAACGATGCTGAAACTTCTTATATGGTAAATATTTTTCAAAAAAATGCTATGATATATAATATATAGTGCCGTAATATAAATATAATACTTTTATTTTTCATTTTTAGATATTTGCCATACCATATCTCGGCAAAAATACTGCTCAAAATATAAGTGGAGAAAGTGTACCAGAGTACTATTTTCGAATAGTCGCAGAACCAATATACAATACTGGACGTTCAATTACGGCTGACAACTGGTATACGTCGGTACCTTTGCTTCAACGTACACTCCCGCCCAATAATCTTTGCCCACCTGAGAACAAAACGACTATAACTTTGAAACTCCATATCTCGGCTGGAAATACACCTACAGAGCTCTGCGGGGGCTCATTTGAAAGAATTTTTCGAGCACTTTTCAATGGTGTATATTAAAATCATGCTTAGATATTTCTCTTGCAGATAGGACGGCGAATATCAAAACAAAAATTACGAAATTTTTGCTTTTTCTTTAACCGCTTGCCATTTCGAGATAAAAAATCGTAGAAAAATTCTAAACATAGCATTTTTTAGCTCTTTTTCTGCACTATCCAAAACACTCATTCAAAAATAATTTTCGTCTAAATTCAGCGATTATATGAGCATTTCATTCAAAAACAGCATCTATATTCATTGCTCTGTATCTCGGAAAATTCGAATTGTAGAAAAAAATTTTCTTGGAAGAAAATGCTCTATTTTGTAAGTAGAATACGTGAACGAAATTTCATAATCATATGAAAACATTTTTTTTTCAGTCGTAATATCAAGTAGTTTAATTTTTTCAATATTTCACTTTGGAATAATAAAACAGATCATTTATATTCGAAGCTATTCTATTAATTGTAGACAAATTTTAATTGTATGCAAATCTCGATCAACGAAAAATCTAAGTAGAAAAATTATTCTAATCTACCAAAACTGACATAACTAATGATTAGTGAAAAAAATTTTTTTTTAATGTTGTTCTAATTTTCTAAAAAATTGTTTACCATAGTAACATATTATTGAAGTATGGCACCGAGAGATTTTAGTAAACGTTATCAAGTTATTGGATTTCACATAAATGGTAAAAGCAATCGTCAGATTGCTAGTATTCTCAATATTCCTCGTCGAACCGTAGACTACAATGTAAATAAATTTAAAAGTAGCGGCAGTGTTGAAGACAAGAAGCGCTCTGGTAGACCGCGGAAACGATTGCTTTTACCATTTATGTGAAATCCAATAACTTGATAACGTTTACTAAAATCTCTCGGTGCCATACTTCAATAATATGTTACTATGGTAAACAATTTTTTAGAAGATTAGAACAACATTAAAAAAAATTTTTTTCACTAATCATTAGTTATGTCAGTTTTGGTAGATTAGATTAATTTTTCTACTTAGATTTTTCGTTGATCGAGATTTGCATACAATTAAAATTTATCTACAATTAATAGAATAGCTTCGAGTATAAATGATCTGTTTTATTATTCCAAAGTGAAATATTGAAAAAATTAGACTACTTGATATTACGACTGAAAAAAAAATGTTTTCATATGATTATGAAATTTCGTTCACGTATTCTACTTACAAAATAGAGCATTTTCTTCCAAGAAAATTTTTTTTTACAATTCGAATTTTCCGAGATACAGAGCAATGAATATAGATGCTGTTTTTGAATGAAATGCTCATATAATCGCTGAATTTAGACGAAAATTATTTTTGAATGAGTGTTTTGGATAGTGCAGAAAAAGAGCTAAAAAATGCTATGTTTAGAATTTTTCTACGATTTTTTTTCTCGAAATGGCAAGCGGTTAAAGAAAAAGCAAAAATTTCGTAATTTTTGTTTTTATATTCGCCGTCCTATCTGCAAGGGAAATATCTAAACATGAATTCAATATACACCATTGAAAAGTGCTCGAAAAACCCTTCCAAATGAGCCCCCGCAGAGCTCTGTAGGTGTATTTCCAACCGAGATATGGAGTTTCAAAGTTATAGTCGTTTTGTTCTCAGGTGGGCAAAGATTATTGGGCGGGAGTGTATGCTTGAGGCACCTTACAATTTGAAGATAACTGGCACGATAAGGAAAAACAAGCGAGAGATTCCTGAGGAATTCAAGAAGCCGTCAAAGCCAGCACCGGGTACAACATTTTGCCATGCAGAAAATTTGACGCTTCTATCTTACACGCCGAAAAAGAAGAGAAGCACGAAGATTGTGCTTGTCATATCTTCTTTTATGCATTCTACGGAGATCAGCGAAGGCAAACCCGTATTAGTGAGACACTACAATGCAACAAAAGGAGGCACAGATAACTTTGACAAATTGTGTCATTCCTATACTGTGAGCCGAAGAACAAACAGGTGGCCGCAAAGGTATTTCTATGGAATGATTGATCAGGCTGTTGTAAATGCAAGAGTTTTACTAAAGTGCCGGAATAAAACTGAAGGTATCAAAGACAATACGTCAGCTGTCGTTTGTCTTGAAAAATTGAGCCACTATCTTGTCAAACCACTTCTACAAGAGAGACTGGCTGTCAGCACTTTGCGAAAAGATATAAAGCATGGTATTGCTGGTATTTTGCAAGTTGATGTGCAATTTGAAAAAAAAGAGTCTGTTACATTTCCAGTAGGGCAAAGATGTGTATTTTGCTCTAGAAAAGACGATAAAAAATCTCGCAAAGGTTGATAAAAAATGCTCGCTTTGCCATTTTCCTGTTTGTCAAAAACATGCATGCTACTGTTGTAAAGGTTGTATAGAGAAATTGTGTTAATATTCAGTTTAATTCAATTCCTATTGACAATTTTGGTCTTCCATTGTATCTTTAATATGTTTTATACATTTTTATATGACAAAACTTCTAAAATGTACGTTTAATTAATAAAAGTTCTTGAATATTTCAACATTTCTGGAAGTTGATTTTTTCACAAAATTCCTACCTTCATTTCTCAAAATAAATACCTTGTTTTAATGACCCGTTACCAGACTATTTTTTTTATGTAAGTATCACTTTTCAGGAGTATCCAGTTAAATTTTTAGCTTCTTAAACAAAAGAATAAAAATTTTATGATTTTTTTCGTAAAAAACACGAATTTTTCGATTTTTTTTGTTAAATTAATTTTTTTATGACACTCAATTTCTATAATTGGATAATTTAACTGTGTAAACGATTAAAGTACTTACTAAAGATTATGCAAAAAATATTTTATCGATATATATTCGATACTTTCTTCGTAATGACATGTTTTTGACTGGGGTACAAATTACCCCGGTCTGGCAGCTACGTAACCGCCAGACAAGTGTGGCAGCTAAGGGTTAATATTATTTGTGTAATCTTACTGCCTATTACTACGCTCTAATTTATTGTATCTGCTTTGTACGAGTATTTTGCTCAAAGCCTATGTCGTTACACCCCACGGCTCAATAAAGCTTATCTATGTATCTATCTTTCTATTCCCTGATAATTGTAAATCTCATACGCGTGCGCAAGTCTTTCGGCCCACAAAAAAATTTAACTTTTATTCTTATAAAAGGCTTGATTTTTATTCGTCGCATTACGTTCTTTCATTTCTCTTTAATTTAACGGATCCGTCACCTGATATCTTTTAAACCGATTTTGTCTAGGGAATAGTGGAAAGAAACATTAGTCTACGTACACCTAAGAGAAAGCAAGTGTCACAAGTCAGATGACTTAAGGTGAGTTCAACTCTATTGGAAAGGAGACATTGGAGCGAAAGTATCAATTGTAAAGACGAATACACGTATGCTCATACGTGATTAACGGAGCGGTGGTTAGCTCTGTATCGTGGGAGATAGTTCTTAAACAAACACAATCTGCATCAATTAATCCACCCCATTCCAATATATATAGTTATTATAATTTATATTTATAGTAATTTATAATTTATATATATTTATTGTATAATTAAATTTTTATGTATAAATATATAAAATGCAACGATTACCGAAAATCGTTCGACTCGCGTAAGGTTAACAAGCGGCTGAGCGGTAGGGATCTTACAATTATTCGGTTTGAGGTGTACCCGGGTAGTCGGTTATTCGGTTACTCGAAATCGGTGAACCGGTTAACCGAATAGTGCGGTTTTCCGGTTGCAGTTAACCGGTTAACCGAATAGTGCGGTTTAAGACAACCTCTGCCAAAAAAAAACAAGCAATTTAATTAATTAATTTGTAATTTTTTGAAGTTTTTTTGAACCTTTGATGTACGTGTATACATAATTACAAACTTTTGCAATCATTTTTAAAGGTTTGACTGGCACTCGAGTGATAACTCTTTTTCGTGGAACCCAAAAACAACATTTTTTTATCTTCTACCTGCGTTTTTAATTATTTTTGTTTTAAAAAAGTTATATTAACTTATTCTGTGCATACTGACCTTTCACTTAAGGTAACTTATATTTTTGCGCAATTTTTTTTTGCATGGCTATTATCAGAAGAAAATTAGAGTTATATCGTTATCACACCGATAGTAATAATAAAAAAAGATTGCTCAATAAGTATTATAAAATATGATACCTACGAGTATAATCCCTATTAATAAGAAAATGCAAAAAAATATAAAAAATTAATCAAAAAATTTTATCCGGTTAATCGGATTAGTTAACCGGATCGGTTAACGGTTTTGCAGTTAACCGGTAAACCGCAACCGATAAAACCGGCAATTCGAATAACCAGTTGTAAACCGAATAAAATCGGTTAACCGATTAACCGGTTAACCGAATAATAAGAGCCCTACTGAGCGGAATAGCCGCGATCGGTTCGAGAGAGAGAGAGGGCGCGTAGGGGCAATGACCGGGAGGGGAGAGTTCGGTAGGCAGTATGACTGTGTCACTCAGTCTGGTTACATCGAGCTAACCCTTTCGAGCCGTCAACGCGTTTTGTGGTCGTGCGAGAAAACAGGTGTCCCCGAGTATCGTAGAACTTGAGAGAAGTGAGTTGAGTGCAGAGCGGACGTGCGGATAAGCGTACGCGCCCTTAGCAGCAACAACTACAGCAGCAGCACCAGTAGCAACAGCAGTAACAGCAGCACAACAACATCAACAGAGGCAACAGGATAGCGAGAAGGGGAGCAGCGAATCTGCGATTTATATATCGGATACGGTTGGCCACCGTATCCTCAACTGACTCGCGGTAGGTGCACCATTTGCAATTTTGTTGTTGTCGTGCGATTCCGCGCAGCGTACGCGAAGAAATTGTTTATTGCGCGCGAGCGGTTAGTTCGCGTCGATCGCGATTTCCTCTCTCTCTCCCACCCAGCGTATTGTCAATTGTATTTGCGTGCGCAAGTCTCTCGGCAAAACCCCCGTGTAATTGATTCGTCTAAATAAAGTGAACGATAGTTATTACTGAATCAAGTCATCGTTATTTTGTCTTTCCTTTGTCCGGAGGTCGCGTTTATTTACTTTCGATTCGAATAAGCCGGTAGCGTAGCAAGGATCACGCAGAGATCGGTAGAGGCGAATCGCCAACCTAGTTTCAAGCAGCAGCCGCAGGAGCGCTGCTAAGCAGGAGCGACAGCGCCGCCAAGTGGCGAGTTGGGGAACCCAACTCGGATTGGCGAGGAGACGCTGCGCAGGCGCACTCCCGGGCAAGGTAGGTTCACGTGCTTCGAGCACATAGATAACTAGGCGTCGTTTAGCCATCAAGTAGGTATATTCAAGGGGAATTACAGGTTAAACGGCAGCCTGTTACAAAAAATATATATAATTTTATAAAAAAAGTCGAAGTTTGTGAAAATTACCTATATGCGTAAGATAGGTTTTGCCAATTAATTTTCGCAGTATATTGTGATGTTAATATAAACTATCATTTATATTGTTCGTACTCTCGTGGTTGTCGCGTTAATGAATAAGAATTCGTTTGAGTATTGAATTTGAAAAATTATACAATAAAATACATATATATATATATATATATATATATATATAATAATTTGAAGTATAATCAAGGATAAACTTTACTCTAATTTCTTATGGTGCGAAGTGTTCCATAAGTAAAGCTCAAGTCTTTTTGTTGAAAGGATGTAATTCAGCCCAAGTTTTTCATAGCGCGAAATGTTCTATAATTTGAGCGTAAATCACAATAGGAAAGGAAAGGATTGCTTAGCTAATCACTAGAGAAAAACAACATAGGTTTAAGCCAAGTTCATTCAATCTTGAACGCTCACTTTAAAAGGCTACGAGAGAATACCAGCCTGTGCAAAATACAGCGTATTTATCCACAAATTTTCCCGCCTATTTTCGCAGGACAGCCTTCTTAATGCTATTTAAGCAAGTATACAATATTATTTTCTCTTGTTTACAATAGACAGCGCTAACGAAGATCTAAATCATGTAAAAAATACAGAAGTTACTATAGATAATTTAAGTATAATTTATACGAGTACTTATCACAAAAATCGGAGTTAAAAGTCGTTAACTAATAAAATTACTTAATATAATAATGCAATATTTACAATAAAATAATCATAAAATTTGACATATAGCAATAGTTTATCGCTTGTAGATATAGTTCTAAAAAAGAACTACTTAAATTAGTTAATAATATTTCAATAATAATCAATTTTCGTATTATTGCAAAATCTTATACGAGTAATGTAAATATAAAATCGGTTAATTAGAATTAATAAATTATCACAATGTTGTCATTATGTATAGAATTAACGCTTTCGATTCATATACTCTTATTTTTTCAAATAAATTATTAATTGTTCATTTATTGATAACAGTATTAACTAAGTTGTTATCAATGAAACGAATTCTTACTCATGTTTCTAAGATTTATTATTACTTTATTATTACTTTATTATTAATTTATTTCATTGAAATTATTTTTAATAACATTGAATAACGCATTTTAATTGAGCAATAAAAATGATTATATATATATATGTATATATATTATAACGAATTTAATTCATTCGTTATGTCTCTCTCTTCCCACACATGCATGTACGCAATTTATATACTTATATTATACTTGAATTCATATTATATTGTACAGCAGCCTGCAGCAGCCGACAACGTCGAAGTGTAAGGTAGGAGAGAGAGCCCAGCATGTCTACTCGCGTGCGTACAAGCAGAGAGAGTCGCGTATGCGTGTATGCGTGTGGTCGCGCTGCCGAAAAGTGCGATAAAAGAGTGGGGACGCCTCTCGCGGCAATTGACTGGCAGACGTAACGCGGACGACACGTGTCTGGACGCGCATCGAGGCAAGGGCTTTTCCGTCCTTTTTTTTTTGCTTGGGCAATCGCCGCAATTTAGCGTCCCTCGACTTCGTCCTCTTTACTGGAGTGTTTGGACTTTCGGTCCGGCATTGCCTGGAATTGTTTTGCAAGTGCGTGCCGTGGTGCGACGACTTGACAGAGCGGTGTGCGCGCGCTGGGACCTAGCGTTAGACGGTCCCGCGCTTCTTCACCACTGCAACCTGCGTCCGGGAACGCCGTCCGGCGAGCGGATACCCGTTGTACCGAGGGCCTGGCCGTTGCCATCGCATTGTAAGTACCGACTCGTTTAGCTCTCTCTTGCTGGCTTGCCGCTTCTCTCTCTCTTTGCCGATTTACCACTCTGTACGCTTTCCCTTGGATGCTTTATATAAATTATTTTTACCCTTTTTATTCTCTGCGTTTCTCTGACTTTGCGCCCGACTCTCACTCCCTATCCTTGGCG